TTCTGATCATACTTCAGAACATAGCATCATATTGGCACTGAAAATCATAGATTACATTAGTCATTAGTTTAGTAGATAACATATCTCTTTTGCCTAACTGAAGCATCCTGCTGTAGAAATAAATACTTGTGTTGTTATTGCATGGCAGCAGCATAAAATGGCTAGCTTCATCTGTTACTCAAAATTTTAGACAGCTTACTCTTCCAGTGTAATGAGGTAGACTGGTCACTTCTTAGGTTTGAAATTGGTGATCCTAGGTCCATCTGTGAAGATGTCCATTATACAGCAAACAATATGATTAGGGTGGACATTATCTCACAGAATGGCAATGATGCACCCAAGTTCAGCACCAAACCTGCATAAACAGCAAATAAATGGTACAGGCCCCATTTATGAGATTACCAATAAAACCAGTCTTCTAGCTCGTGGAGTTGTAAGAATCCCAATGTGTATATTGACCATTAAGGTAGGCTTGCACTTGACCACAGTAGAGAACCCAATAACAAAATTCTCCATGAATGTGGTATCTCAATCGATTATTGCTAGCTTTGAACTGCACATACTCAAGAATGGAGCTAAGGCATCACTTTCAGGCCTAATCTACCTCATGTTAGCCTGGGATACTAAGTTATGTCAAAAAATTAAGCAACAGATGAAGTTAGCTGTTTCACACTGCTCTTATGCAACAGCCACACAGTGGTGTTTTCCAATGACAGAACACTGCCATTAAGCCAAAGATGTTCTGCCCACCACATAAATGTGTAGTGTGTTTAATGAATTTCAGGTCTAGTATGAGATATGCAGGCCTTACTTCCTGACTGCCAGTGATTGCATCAAACTGCATGTCTCTTTGGTAGTTCACAATAGGCAAAATACTGATGATTGCATATAATCTTGGAAAACAGGGCATAATGCATAACATTGGATGGAATTCTGCCACTGGACAGAATTGTACCATTGGACAGTCTTTGCAGAATGATCCTGAGTGTGTTGAGAATTATACTAACAGCTAAATTAAAATTTATTTTAAAATTAAGATTATTAGCTAGGCTTGTAATGTCGCTCACCTATGCTTGCTGGAAGTTACATATATTCATACAAAGAATTGCCCTCTGCAGGAAAAGAGAACATATCCAGGCACTTTGCTTTTTGAATTAAACAAAAACATGGGGAGGATAGTTCCTTCCTTTGAAGGGTCACCGGACCCGAAACATTAACTCTGTTTTCTCCTTTACAGATGCTGCCAGACCTGCCGAGCTTTTCCAGCAACTTTGTTTTAGTTCCTTGCTGTATCTGCCATAACACACCTCAAACAAGCAGAATTGCGTTGTCAACCAATCAACAACCTTCCTTCATGCAATATAAACTGTAACTCCCTTTGAAATTTGGCATTTTTGTATTGGACCTGATGAGTGCTAGTTTAAACATTTGAACAGAATGTTTCTTTCACCAATAATGCTCAAGTACTGCACTTCCCAAGCAACTATTTACTTCTTTACTCCTTTCTTTTCTGACGTGCTCTTAGTCACTAATACCCAACACTGCTTATTAAATTCTGTTCTTTCTTCATTAATTTGCTGCAGACTTAACTTTTCTCAACAGATTTATAAATTTAACCTTACTCAAGCCCTCCAACAAATGAATTTAAAGTCGCCTTTAAGGAGCTCTTTTAAAAGGAGAGAAAAAAGCTAAGTGTTTGATAAAGAAAATTATAGAGTTCTCCACCTAGGTGACTGGAGATGCAACCATCAACAATGGAATGATAGAATTGGGGATTACTAAAGGCCAGATTTGGAGGTCTTGAAGAGTTTCAGATTGGTGGTGGGTAGACATAAAACCAAGGAAAGCCATAGCAGGAATCTGAACGCCAAACGATGGTACAATGTTCTTCATTATTCCAAGCTAGTTATCAATCAGAAATCTGCTCAGCACAGAAGATGGCTTTGTGCATCAAGGAGGGGGAGTGGGAACAACTGAATTATTCTGCAGCAATCCAGCACGAATTTAATGGGCCAAAAGATCTTCTGTGCCATAAGTAACTCTATGACTTTATGAATACCCACTTCAAGCTGGTTTCATGATTCCACCATTAAATATTCACATAAGGGTTGATCAAAAGAGATTAAGCTGAAATACTTATTATTTTGAGTGTTGTTTTCTAGTTATTTTTAAGTTTGAACATTTCCTTATATTTCTCCGATGTTTCAATGAATAAATATACAGAACTGAAACCAGAAAGATCGCAATTTCCATAACTGGGTTACGTCAGTGAGTTAATGACTGCTACATTGATAGGGACACCTTGAAAACTGACAAAAGGAAAAATGCATGAGAACGACTTTCAATTATACAGCAACTTTCACAACATCACATGGTCTAACAGTGCTTTTTTTTTAAAATCAATGTTTTAATCACTGTCATAATGAGGCACACAGCAGACAACACTACACACAGAGATCTTGCCTAGACAGTAATGTAATAACAATGAGATCTTTTAGGTTTTGAAGAAGACAAATATTACCAGGAAACTGGAAGAACACCCTCAGCCTTCTTCAAATTATGCCAAACGAACTGTACTTCAAAGGGAATGTAATATAAAAACAGGGCTATCTTGCTAAAAGAAAACAAGGTTCAAAACTATACTAGTCAGACCATATATGGAATACCGTGAACAATTTTAGTCCTTTATCTAAGAGAAGATATTTAGGTAGTAGAGGAAATCCAGAGAAGGTCTACTAGTTTGATTCTGGATATGAAAGATTTTCTTATGAAGAATAGTTCAGTACATTGGGCTTGTACACACTGGAGTTTAGAAGAATTAGAGAAAGCCTTATTGAAACATATAAACTTATTACGGGACTTGACAGGGTAGATACTGAGAGTTTGTTTCCCATTGTGGGCGAGTCTAAGACCAGAGAGTATAACCTCAGAGTAAGGGGTCACCCATTTGAGACAGAGATGAGGAGTAAATCTTTTCTTTCAGAGGTCAGTGAATCTACTGTCAAGGCTGGGTCATTAAGAATACTCAAGGCTGAGAAGAGATTTTTATTCAGTAATGGAGTCCATTTTATAGGGATAAAGCAGAAAAGTGGAGTTGAAGTTATCAGATCATCTATGATCATTGAATGGCAGAGAAGACTTGATGGGCTGAATGCCTACTTCTGCTCCTACATCTTAAAGTTTTATCTTGTGGAATGAATAAAATTGGCTGGAAATTTGCATCTATGATGCTGGGGATCTCAAAATGAGGTTAGGTTTGATCATCCACACTTTCGGTTATAGATAGTTGCAAACGCTCCAGTCCCAACTATCGCACCGCAGGCTGCACTCTGCATCACAAGGACAGGGATATTTGTGGAGCCTCTTCCTCCCATTAGCTCACCAACTGTCCGTTACTCACAACGAGATGTGGCGAACCTAAGCTTTGAATGTGCGATTGTAAACTCTATCAATCATATGCTGCTTCTTGCATTAGATTGATTGTAATCTTACATTATCATTTCATGAGGTTGACACAGCGTTTTTAATTGTGCCTAGTGATGCTCCTGACATGTTTACCTGCAATTGTCATGGACCCAGGGTTGGTCTCTTTATTTGATGGTAATAGTAGACTAGAACACTTCATCACAGGTGTACTGACGACATTACCCAGCAGGGTGACAAAACATTTGCAACCAAACTCACTGGCTCGGGGAGCATGTCTACAACCTCATCCACACCCAAGCTACAAATGTTCTTGAAACCTTTTAAGTATACTGAAGAGTTTGTCAATCCATGAGATTATCAATTGTGTTGGAACACAACTCTGCTGCTACTGACGCACAGTGCCATGTAGATCCCCAGCTTTGAGCTCCTAGATCTGTTCTGAATCTATTTCATTTAGCACAATGAGAATGCTAAACAACAGGATGATGTCCTTCGTATGAAGACATGACTTCATTTCCACAAGAGCTGTATGATGGGCAATTTTATCTAAAATATCCTGAATAGACATATTTGTGAAAGCTAGATTGAGGAGGTTCACTCATCACCCATTAACCCAGTCTGTTAGGTATGTTCTTCAGGTCTCAACCAGGTCAGTTGTCAGTGGTATACCGAGCCATTTCTGATCATGAGCATTCAAATCCTAATCCAAAGTACCTTCTGTGACCTTTTTCCTCCCACAGCCTCTTCCAAATAGTGTTCAACATGGAGGAATAACTGACTGATCAAAATTAGTGCTGTTCCTTGAGCTGCACTGTACTTTGTTTCTTGCTGAAGGACTTTGCAGTCACGAGGTCTCAATATTGATACCTGAAGACTGTAAGGTACCTAGGCAGATGAGGTGATTCAAAATTCTCTGTTGAATTCAAATCCCATCATCCGCCATGGTGAGATTCAAACCTGAATCCCCAGATTACTATCTCTGGGTTAATAGTCTAGCAGTAATACCACTAGGTCACCACCTCCCCTTTTAATTCCCTCCTGAATCCCTTGACTGAATTCACCTTCACCACTCCCAGGCAGTATGTTCCAGATCCCAACATCTGAAGATGTGAAACAGCTATTCCTCTATATGCCTTCTGGATCTCAATCTTTCCATGAAGAGGAAAGGTTTCTCCCCATCTCCTCTGTCCAACCTCTTTGTGATTTTGAAAATTTCTATAAAACTGCTTTCAATCTTACAATATTTGTGGAAAACAAACTTCTCCAATCTATTTAACTTAGGAAGTCATTCAGCCCTGGAACCATTCTCATTATTTTTTTCAGCACTCTTTCCAATGCCTTTTACATCTTTCCTAAAATGTGATGCTCAAAACTTCTGGAGAGTTGAATAAATATCGGAGAAAATGTGGAAGACTATTTGAAGCAGCAGGGGAACTGGATCAATAGAATATCTTTCTCAAAGCACCTGCACAGACACGAATGACCTCTAATCAATGCCATCTTATTCTATGATGATCTCTCGTGCTTCTTTAATCCTGAACTTGTTCAATAAAGTTTATATTAATAACGAACAGAACCATATAACAACGACCGTCAAGTTAATTAAACTAGACCTTGGAATAGCTGCTGGACCGGGTAACTGGACTGAAACGGAGCAGATTCCTGCTCAGACTCGCCCTCAGGATGAGCCGAAGCACCGACCTTCCACAAACACCGAGAGACATCCCCAACAGTCACCAACCGGCCGGGTCACCGCAAGGAGCAACGTGCAGCTCCGCGCCTTCCACAACCCGCGACTCCCAGGACAGCGCCGCCTCTGGCCAACGTCAGGCAATGCTGCAGGCTCCGGTCACAGCGCCACGCCTGGCCAGCTGCCGGCAATGCTCCTGTGGACTGAAATTGTCGCAGCGCGAAGGAGGTCATCTTTCTGTTGGCGCAATTTGCTCGAGGAGCAATTCATTTTGCATCGGTCCTGCTTCCCACTACGTCTTGTTCTCCTGTAGCCGTGCTTTTCAATAGCAGTACAATTTCTTCTTCAATTCCTCTATTGAATCTGTCTCACCATATTCTCAGGCACTGCAGTTTCAATCCTAAAATGAAGAAGTTTTTTCTCATTTTGTCAAATACTTTAAATTAAAAATTGCAGAATTTTTACAATGCAGGAGACAGTCTTGTCCTGTCGAGTTTGCATGAGCTCTGGGAATGTGCATTTTGCCCAACAGATACTTTTAATTAGAATAGAATATCCTTTATTGTCACATGTACTCAAGCACAAACATACAGAGTACAGTGATAAGTTTTACAATGTCTCCTCTTATGGCTCCATCTTAGGTACAAGTACCTAGGTACAAATCTTAGGTACAAAAAGAGGAATAAAAAAGAATAGTTGTGTTACTTTACAGACATAAGACATACATAAAAGGATAGTCATTACAGTCGTATAAACAAATTACACATAAACATTACATTGCCGTAGCTGAGCACAGGGACTTCCACATATGTTCTTAACTGCCCGCACCAGACCCCAGTCCAGCAACCCATCCCTGCTCTGCTCCAAGCCTCCAGTCCGCTCCACACTGGCTACCAACTGCTCCAAGGTAAGTTTTCTCCAGGGCTTGTTTCCCTGCGCCGGCCTTCACCCAGGACTGCTTCCCCTTGCTGGCCTCCACCCATTAATCTGTTCAGACAAATAACACACAGGAGCAGGTGGGTCTTGAACTGAGCTTTTTGGCTTAGAGGTAGAGATACCACCATTGCACCATAAGAGCCCATATCTCTGCTGCTCTGACCCTTTTCAGGTAAGTCTATTTCCCTTTTGAATGCTTTGCTTAAATCTGCATCCCAGACTCTCAGACAGTGCTAGCCATTTTCTGTATGAAAAAGCTTTCTTCATGTTGCTGACGAACACTTCTCCTTCCGCAGCTGTTTAAAAACCCACAGACAGGTAAGTGTTGGAAGTTATGGAAGAAACAATACACTGTATGTCAAAGAGCAGAAACACTAGGTTTCTTTGTTAATTTTGCTGACGACAACCTCATGATACAGCGGATAGAGACCATTGCAGATTTCAAATCCATCAATGAGAGAATGGAAGAATTGATACAGTTCCCAGCATGCAATGATGAATTTATCAGCTTTAGTGTCAGGATTGCAGGGATACCACAGATGCAGGAAGTCAGAGGCAGCAGTACTCAAAAAGTCAGAGCAAGTATTTTCTGACATTGTTTGAACTCGAGTGGGAATGTTTGAAGGAAAAGAAAAGCATTACTGAGGACTCAGTAAAGGGCTCACCTTTGTCCCCCTCCACCCACAGATCAACGAATACCGCTCACGCTTGGACATAGAGCAGTTTTTCCGCCGCCTCTGCCTCCACGCTTACTTCTTTAACCGTGAACCTAACCCTCCCTCTACTGACCCCTTCTCCCGCTTCCAACACACCCCCTCCTCCTGGACATCACCCCAAGGCCTCCTACCCTCCCTCGACCTCTTCATCTCCAACTGCCGTCGAGACATCAATCGCCTCAACCTCTCCACCCCTCTCACCCACTCCAACCTCTCCCCTGCAGAACGTGCAGCCCTCCGCTCCCTCCGCTCCAATCCCAACTTCACCATAAAACCTGCGGACAAGGGAGGCGCAGTTGTAGTATGGCGCACTGACCTCTACGTCGCCGAGGCCGGACGCCAACTCTCCGACACCTCCTCCTACCGCCCACTTGATCATGACCCCACCCCTGAGCACCAAACCATCATCTCCCAAACCATCCACAACCTCATCACCTCAGGTGACCTCCCACCCACGGCCTCCAACCTCATCGTTCCACAACCTTGCACTGCCCGCTTCTATCTCCTTCCCAAAATCCACAAACCCGAATGCCCTGGTCGACCCATTGTCTCCGCCTGCTCCTGCCCCACCGAACTGATCTCCAACTATCTAGACTCCATTTTCTCCCCCTTGGTCCAGGAACTCCCTACCTATGTCCGTGACACCACCCACGCCCTCCACCTCCTCCAGAACTTCCAATTCCCCGGTCCCCAACACCTCATCTTTACCATCGACGTCCAGTCCCTCTACACCTGCATTCCCCATACAGATGGCCTTAAGGCCCTCCGCTTCTTCCTGTCCCGCAGGCCCGACCAGTCCCCCTCCACTGATACCCTCATCCGCTTAGCCGAACTCGTCCTCACACTCAACAACTTCTCTTTCAATTCCTCCCACTTCCTACAGACAAAGGGGGTAGCCATGGGTACCCGCATGTGCCCAAGCTACGCCTGCCTCTTTGTAGGTTACGTGGAACAATCCCTCTTCCGCACCTACACCGGCCCTAAACCCCACCTCTTCCTCCGTTACATTGATGACTGTATTGGCGCCGCCTCGTGCTCCCACGAGGAGCTCGAACAGTTCATACACTTCACTAACACCTTCCACCCCAACCTTAAGTTTACCTGGACCATCTCTAACACCTCTCTCCCCTTCTGGACCTCTCTGTCTCCATATCGGGCAACCACCTAGAAACCGATATTCATTTCAAGCCCACCGACTCCCACAGCTACCTAGAATACTCCTCCTCCCACCCACCTTCCTGCAAAAATGCTATCCCCTATTCCCAATTCCTTCGCCTCCGCCGCATCTGCTCCCAGGATGAGGCATTCCACTCCCGTACATCTCAGTTGTCCTCGTTTTTCAAGGACCGTAACTTCCCCTCCTCGGTGGTCGAGAACGCCCTCAACCGTGTCTCCCACATCTCCCGCACCTCATCCCTCACACCCCGTCCACACAATAAGAACCAAAAATGAATCCCCCTCGTCCTCACGTACCACCCCACCAACCTCCGGATCCAACGCATCATCCTCCGACACTTCCACCATCTGCAATCCGACCCCACCACCAAAGACATCTTTCCCTCCCCACCCTTATCTGCTTTCCGGAGGGACAACTCTCTCCGTGACTCCCTTGTCCGCTCCACACTCCCCTCCAGCTCCACCACACCCGGCACTTTTCCCTGCAACCGCAGGAAGTGCTACACCTGCCCCCATACCTCCTCCCTCACCCCCATCCCAGGCCCCAAGAAGACTTTCCACATCAAGCAGATGTTCACCTGCACATCTGCCAATGTGGTATACTGCATCCGCTGTACCCGGTGTGGCTTCCTCTACATCGGGGAAACCAAGCGGAGACTCGGGGACCGCTTTGCAGAACACCTATGCTCGGTTCGCAATAAACAACTGCACATCCCAGTCGCGAACCATTTCAACTCCCCCTCCCATTCCTCAGACGACATGTCCATCCTGGGCCTCCTGCAGTGCCACAACGATGCCACCCGAAGGTTGCAGGAACAGCAACTCATATTCCGCTTGGGAACCCTGCAGCCCAATGGTATCAATGTGGATTTCACAAGCTTCAAAATCTCCCCTCCCCCTACCGCATCCCAAAACCAGTCCAGCTCGTCCCTGCCTCCCTAACCTGTTCTTCCTCCCACCTATCCCCTCCTCCCACCTCAAGCCGTACCTCCATCTCCTACCGACCAACCTCATCACGCCCCCTTGACCTGTCCGTCCTCCCTGGACTGACCTATCCCCTTCCTAACTCCCTACCTACACTCACCTTTACTGGCTCCATCCCCGCCTCTTCGACCTGTTTGTTTCCTCTCCACCTATCCTCTCCTCTATCCCTCTTCTATCCGCCTCCCACTCTCTCCCTATTTATTTCAAAACCCCCTCCCCCTTTTCTGATGAAGGGTCTAGGCCCGAAACGTCGGCCTCTCTGCTCCTATGATGCTGCTTGGCCTGCTGTGTTCATCCAGCCCTGAACCTTGTTGTCTCAGTGAGAACAATTGACTATAATTACAACAAACTTTGGAATAATGAGGAAATAATTACATAGATTACTTTGCAAAATGATAATCCTATTATGAAAATGGTTGAAGACGATCATCCTTGAACACTGGTGATAAGAATAAGATTGGTTAACTGTAAACATACAAAGAGATTCAACATGTAGGGGCTGAGGGGTAGACATGAGAATTTAAAGAAAATGTTAAATAGTGTTCATGTAAAATTTGAGAGAGACATGTGGAGGGATCGGGTGTAATAAGAATGGACATAATATGGCGATGTAGGTCATGATTTAACAGTGATATTCACAGTCATGTGCAAGAGATTGTGAAGAAAGTCAGTATTGGTGAAAGATGTGTTTGCAGTATTGTATACAATGGTATAAATAAAAGGGTTTGCAGATGCCTACTACAGTCAGAAAACAGTCACTCATAAGTGAAGGGAAAGCATTACGGGCCACAAACTACAATGAAGAGACAAGGGTAGCCTTCTCTCCAGTGTCCAGTTTGAACCAAAAACCTCATGGCAACACAAACCAGCATATCCTGGACCTATTGTGTTATATTTACCACAGAATTGTCAAAGAATGAGAACAAAGAACAATACAGCACAGGAACAGGCCCTTCGGTCCTCCAAGCCTGCACCAACACATTTTGCCCTTCCATTCCAAAACTATCTTCACTTACAGGATTCATATTCCTCTATTCCCTTCCTATTCATGTGTTCGTCCATGTGCTTCTTGAATGATGCTATTTTGTCTGCTTCCACCACCTCCTCTGGCAGCACATTCCAGGCACTCACCACCCATTGTGTGAAAAACTTGCCTCGCACATCTCTTTTAAACATCCCCCCTTGCACCTTGCACCTATGTCCCCTAGTAATTGATCCCTCCACTTTGGGAAAAAGCCTCATACTTTCCACTCTATCCATGCCACTCACAACCTTATAAACTTCTATCAGGTCACCCCCTCAACCTGCGTTCCAGTGAAAACAAACCCAACCATTCCAACATTTCTTCATAGCTAAAATCCCCCATACTAGGCAACAACCTGGTAAACTTTTCTGTAGCCTCTCCAAAGTATCCATATCCTTCTGGCAGTGCAGTGACCAGAACTATATGCAATATTCCAAGTATGGCCTAACTAATGTTCTATAAAGCTGCAGCATAACT